GTGATTTCCATACTAAAATTATTTAGACAAACATGGTTCTATGATCGATGTAAACACAATTAAGTTCTTGTATCTGGATGCCCATCCTGGAGTGGGTGTAAAACAGCTCAAACAATTCCTGATTTGCAAAGCTGTCAGTGGGGGATGGAGAAAGGGAGGTCAGGCAGCTTTTGGTGGTGAGGAAATGCTGAAACCAGCCTGACTCATTTAACCTCTTCCTGTCCTGGCTGATCTCCCCTCTTTCCCCTCCTACCCATTGGCTTTTGTCTCCCACCAGCCCTCTGTGAAGAGCCTGGCTCTGTGTTCTCCATCCCCTCCTGGCTGGCACTGCCAGGCTGGCATGCGGAGCCCCTCAGCCTTCCCTGCTCCAGGCTGGACAAACCCAGCTCCCTCAGCCTCTGCTCACAGCCCAAGGGCTCCAGCCCCACCTTGGAGGCCCTTCCCAGACCCTGCTCCAGCTGCCAGACATCTTTCCTGCCCTGGGGAACCCAAAATAGGTCTCAGTGACCTGGATAATCCATGTCCTTGGTGTCCTGGTCACACAGCCCTGGCCCCTTGTCCCCTGTCAGGCTCTGGGGTGGATCCTGTGGAACATCCTTTGGTGGAGGCTGTGGGTCCAGGTGGGCTGGGGGGATCCCGGGGGACAGGGACCCTGCTGGGCATGAAGAGCATTGGACTTGTTGGGAGAAACTGTGAGGGGGAGCTGGGGTGGAGTGACCAACCCAGTGACCTGACACAGCCCTGCTGGGATGCAACACAGCCCCTCTGGGATGTCACAGCCTGCTCTGTGATGTCACAGCTGGCTCTGTGATGTCACAGAGGGTCTCTATGATGCTGTAGCTTCTCCATGACCTCACATAACCCACTCTGTGACCTCATGTTACCAGATGATAAATTGCACCAGGTGAGCTGACACCAGGAGCTTGTTCTTCAAAACCCCAGGCCTATGGTTGTTCTTCAAAAACCCCAGGCCAATGCCCAATGTGTGACAAGGGGAACTAGAAGTTCAGTAGCCTCAGTTTCCTGCAGGCTCAGCCAGGCCCACTGGAACAATGGGGTCCACGAGCACCAGGGACCACCAGAGAGACGCCCAGGGCAGAAGAACACATGGGTGAAGGGCAGGGAAAATATGTTAATGATTTTGGGGAAATGATTATCATATATATGTTTAGTCCAGGACATTCAATGAATATGTGTGCAAAATACAGAAATGAGACAGAAACTTTCCTGTGCTTAGCATGCAGGGCTTTGGGAGGAGCTATCACCAGTGCATCTGGCTGATTAAAGAACGCTGCTTCTTAATGCTACACTGGGGTTAAGGAGTTTTCTGTTTCACCAAATTTTTCGTAACACTCCCATTGCCAAGGAAAGCTCTGTCTGCTGCTGTTCACAAACAGAGAAGGGCTGGTGGCAGATGTGGGGCTCGGAGGCTGCCTGGGGCACAGTGACCATGAAATAATGAAGTTGTCATAGTTCTATGAAAGAAGGAGGGGCAGCAACAAAATTTCTCCACTGGAATTAGGAAGGGCAGACTTTGGCTTATTTAGGATGCAGATATGGGGAGTACTGAAGTGGGTCATGATTTTTTGAAGGGAAGCTGCCTTAAAAACAAAGGGGTCCAGGAAGGATGGACACATTTCAAGGAAGTAATCTTAAGGGGGAAGGAGTAGCCTGTCCCAGTGTGACAAAAGATGAGCTAGTGAGGAAAATGACTGGCCAGGCTGGGCATGGAGCTTTTGTGGGAACTCAAGGGAAAAAAGGACTGGCACTGCAGGAAGTGTTTAAGGATGTCTTTTGGTTATCAGAAAAAACATCAGAGCAGTGAAAGCTCAATCAAAACTTAACCTGACCTATCCTGTAAAAAAAAAAAAAAAAAAAGTTTGTATAAAAATGTTTTAGCAAAAGGAGGGAGAAGGAGAACCCCTACTCTTTATTGGATGCAGTGGAGGAGATAGTAACTACAGATAAGGAAATGGCTGAACTGCTTACCACCTTGTTTGTCTCAATTTTTAATACCAGGACAGGTTGTCCTCAGGACAAGTGTTCTTCTGAGCTGGCAGATGGGCACAGGGAGCAGAACAGCCTCCTGTAATCCAGGAGGAAGCAGTTGGTGACCTACTGAGCCACTCAGATGCTCACAGGTGTATGAGATTGGACGGAATCCATCCTAGGGGGATGAGGGAGCTGGTGGATGAGCTCCCCAGGCTGCTCTCCATCATTTACCATCAGTCCTGGCTCAGCAGGGAGGTCCCAGAGGACTGGAGGTGCCAGTGTGAGCCCATCCCCAAGAAGGGCTGGAAGGAGGAGCTGGGGAACTCCAGGCCTGTCAGCCTGACCTGGGTGCCCGGCAAGGTTATGGAACAGATCACCTTGAGTGCCATCCCAGGGCACCCACAGGATGGCCGAGGGGTCAGAGACAGCCAGCGTGGATTTAGGGGTGGCAGGTCCTGCCTGACCAACCTGGTCTCCTTTTATGACCAGGTGACCCACCCGGTGGATGCAGGAAAGGCTGTGGATGTTGTTTACCTGGACTTCAGCAAAGCCTTTGACATGGTCTCTGACAGCATTCCCTGGAAAAACTGCAGCCCACGGCTTGGGCGGGTTCCCTCCTCGCTGGGAGATTTAAGAGCTGGCTGGAGGCTGGGCCCAGAGAGTGGTGGGGATGGTGCTGCATCCAGATGGTGTCCAGGCACTGGTGGTGTCCCTCAGGGATCTGTCCTGGGCCGAGTCCTGTTTAATATCTTCACTAATGATCTGGGGGAGGGGATCGAGTCCAGCATTCACAAATTGCAGATGGCACCAGGCTGGGTGTGAGTGTGGATCTGCTGGAGAACAGGACAAGAAGACACAGCCTTAAGCTGCACCAGGGGAGGGTTAGGCTGGACAATAGGAAGTTCTTCAGAGAAAGGGTTAGTGGGCATTGGAATGGGCTGGCCAGGGGGGAGGTGTCCGAGTCACTGTCCCACTCCAGAGGCACTTAGTGGCATGGTCTGTGTGACAAGGGAGTATTAGGGCATTGGTTGGGCTTGATGATCCCAAAGGTCTTTTCCAGCCTATTTGATTCTGTAATTTTGTGATAATTGGGACACTCTGGGGCCATTGTGACACTGCAGGGCCTTGCGGAACTAAGAGGACCATGGTGACACCGTGCAGCCCCACAGAACCAGGGGTCTATTGTGGTGCTGTGGGGCCAAATGGAGCCAGGGAGAGCACTGTGACACTTAGGGTCCTCGTGGAACCACAGAGGCCATTGTAACACTGCAGAGCCTTGTGTAACCAAGGGGTTTCACCATTTTGACACTGCAAAACCAAGGAGACCATTGGAAGACTCCAGGGCCCAGTGGAACCAAGGGGCTGTTCTGACACTGCGGGACGTCATGGAACCAAGGGGACATTGTGACACTGCAGGATCCTGTGTAACCAAGGGGCCACTGTGACACGAGGGAGCCTCAAGGAATCTGGAAGAATGTTGTGACACTTTATGGCCTCATGGAAACAAGGAGTCCATTGTGTCACTGAGGAGACTTGTGGAACCACAGAGACCATGGTGACAGTGTGGGACCTCATGTCACCATGGGGCCATTGTGACACCATGGGGCCCCATGGAACCAAGGGGCCACTTTGAAACTGCATCACCAATAACAAGATTGTGACACTGTGAAGCCTCATGGAACCAAGGAGACCATTGTCACATTTTGGGGCCCCATGGAACCAAGGAGACCAGTGTGACAGTGCAGGGCCTGGTGTGACCAAGAGGCCAATGTGACACTGAGGGGTCCCATGGAACCAAGGACATATTTGCAGATGACACCAAGCTGGATGTGAGTGTTGATCTGTGGGAGCATAGGAGGGCCCTGGACAGGCTAGATACAGGGCCCAAATCCAACAAGGTGAGGTTTAACAAGTCAAAGTGCTGGGTCCTGCACTTTGGCCACAGTGCTACAGGCTGGGGATAGAGTGGCTGGACAGCAGCCAGGCAGAAAGGGACCTGCAGGGACTGATGGACAGCAGACTGGACATGAGCTAGCAGGGTGCCCAGGTGGCCAAGCAGGCAAATGGCTCCTGGCCTGGATCAGGAATGGTGTGGCCAGCAGGAGCAGAGCTGCTGTACTCAGCTCTGATCTGCCCCCAGCTCTGCACACAGACATTGCTGCTGCAGCTCCACAGAAGGCAACAAAAGGGCATCTCTGAAGAAAACTTTCCTGGGACATCCTTTAGTCCTATTAAAGCCACCAAGAGTGCAGCTCCTCATTGACACAGCCAGTGGCTCCAGGGAAGGCGGAGAAAAACAAAATGAGAAATGGCAAAACAATGGGTTTTTTTTATGGACAATACTGAAAAACTAAAACACAGGGGAAAAAAGAACAAAGCCAAAAGAACAATCAAAGATCATTTATATTACAAATTATTTATATTACAAATTAATTCTATTACTTTGCCTGTCGTTGCCGCAGCCCTGGCACTGCCACCCCCAGGACTGTGCCCAGCCTTGAGAGCACTCAGGCCTTGGAGCAACACCAGGGCCACCAGGGCAGCAGGGCAGGGCCATGGCAGCAGCAGTGGCAACACCAAGTGCTGCTGCTGCTGCTGGGCACAACTGCTGGGCCAGCACTGATCTGCCCCCAGCTCTGCACACAGACATTGCTGCTGCAGCTCCAGAGAAGGCAACAAAGGGGCATCTCTGCAGAAAACTTGGCTGGGAGATCCTTTGCATCCTTTAAAGGCACCAAGAGCGCAGCCCCTCATTGAGAGAGTCTGTGGCCATAGGGAATGTGGAGAGAAACAAAATGAGAAATGGCACAAGGAATGGCTTTACTTTGTTGACAATATGAAAAAATTAAAACAAAGGAAACAGATCTCCAAAATGAAACCATCAATAAGTATCAAAAATGTGTTTTATTACAAGTGATTTGAAGTAATTGACCAGCAGCTTAATGTTCCTGAAAGCATCCAGTCATCAGTGTCCACACTGCAGCCTTCAGCTCCTGATTCCTCAGGCTGTAGATGAGGGGATTCAGGGCTGGAGGCACCACCGAGTACAGAACTGACAGGGCCAGATCCAGGGATGGGGAGGAGATGGAGGGGGGCTTCAGGTAAGCAAATGCTGAAGTGCTGACAAACAGGGAAACCACAGCCAAGTGAGGGAGGCAGGTGGAAAAGGCTTTGTGCCGTCCCTGCTCAGAGGGGATCCTCAGCACAGCCCTGAAAATCTGTACATAGGTAACAACAATGAACACAAAAGAACCAAATACCAAACACACACTAACTGCAAGAAGCCCAAGTTCCCTGAGGTAGGATTTGGAGCAGGCAAGCTTGAGGATTTGTGGGATTTCACAGAAGAACTGGCCCAGGGCATTGCCATGGCACAGGGGCAGGGAAAATGTATTGGCCATGTGCAGCAGTGAATAGAGAAAGGCACCGGCCCAGGCAGCTGCTGCCATGTGGGCGCAAGCTCTGCTGCTCAGGAGGGTCCCATAGTGCAGGGGTTTGCAGATGGACACATAGCGGTCATAGCACATGATGGTCAGGAGGAAATACTCTGTTCCAATGAAGAACAGAAAGAAAAATAGCTGTGCAGCACATCCTGTGTAGGAGATGTCCCTGGTGTCCCAGAGGGAATTGTGCATGGCTTTGGGGACCGTGGTGCAGATGGAGCCCAGGTCAGCCAGGGCCAGGTTGAGCAGGAAGAAGAACATGGGCGTGTGCAGGTGGTGGCCGCAGGCTACGGCGCTGATGATGAGGCCGTTGCCCAGGAGGGCAGCCAGGGAGATGCCCAGCAAGAGGCAGAAGTGCAGGAGCTGCAGCTGCCATGTGTCTGCCAATGCCAGCAGGAGGAAGTGCCTGATGGAGCTGCTGTTGGACATTTGCTGGGGCTGGACATGGGGACCTGTTCATGGAGAAAAGGACAGTGAAGAGTTAGAAGAGATATCTGTAATCAAAATCAAAGAAAAAAAACCCCATATACCCTCCCCTGAAATACACACAGAAACATTTCTGTATTTAAGAGTTCTGTGGTTTTCTTTTTAAGCTCCCCCCATGTCTCTCCTGGTATTCTTGGATATCAAACCCTCAGTATTTCTGCTGCCCTCTGGTAGAACAGAGTGAGTTCCCTGATGCAAGCTGATGAGTGGAGCGTGAGGGGAGATGGTCTGTCATGTTATTCTCTTTGGAGTTTCTCTGAGCTTTAACCATCCTCAGGTGAAGGATTATCACTTTCTTATGCTGCCCATAAAATATCACCAGGTACTGCTGAGAGCAGATGGATCCACCACAGCCCAGCTTCACACTTGTAGCCAAGGACTCATGTTGCTCATTTCACCAACCCAGCAGCATTTTCCGTGTCACAACACTTCTGCCTTTCCCCATTAATCTTATAACTCAGAGATGCTCTCGGACAGGTTTGCATACAGGATTGAAGCTCCCAGCTTGGACTGAAATCTCAGGGAGACTTCCAAGTGTCCTTATGATGGCATTGGATGAAGGGAGATGCAGCTCCTTCCCTGGCTGTACTGACAGCATTGCCCAGAGCCGGGCACTGGGGACAGCGTCACCCTGAGCCAGCTGTGCCCCCTCCAGGCTGGGCAGCTGCTCCCAGCCCTGTGCTTTGCAGAGGGAACTGGGCCTGGGGCTGCAGAGCTGCCCCACGGCTCTGCTGCAGCTCTGCCAGCACAGGAGGGGCTGCACGCCTTGGAGCCCCAGCACTGAGGGCAGAGGCTTGGCTGGGGCACAGGAGGGAGGGGGCTTGTTCAGAGGGAGGAGCTGCACTGAAGGGGCTCCTGTGAAGATCTCTAAACTCTCCCTGCCACATCATTGCTGGGTCTTGTTTTCTCTTATTGCCTGACCTTCTCTCTGCTTCCAGGAGATTTTCCTTCCCGCAGGTGTTTCCCTGTGCCTGATCTCTCCCTGCAAGCACTCACAGACCACAAATCTCTGTGCACTCTCCTTGGACTGACAGAACCCTGGCTGTTTGCAGGGCGCTGGCGGGGGCAGGTTCTGTTTGCAGCTTGGAGAAAGGACAGATCAGACTGAGCCTGATGGTTAAGAGCAAAAGTGATGCTTGTGCTGTCCATGGGCAGAGTGGCTGAAAGCACATTAGGGATCTCCTGTGAACCTATTGATCACTAATAGGAACAGTTCGAATGTCTCAGACACTATTCAAAATTCATAATCAGCCGTTAATATTTGTACCCCCTTCCCTGCCATCAACCAGTAGTATGAAATGGAATACAAAATCTTTGGAAATTTCCACATACTTATCAAAATTCTTGTCTTGGAAATACTCCATGACTGATCAGAACCCCTAAGCATGTCAGAGCTTCATGAGCATTTCACCTCCCCTGCACCAGAAATACTCAGAGTTGTACTCACAGAGTCTGTAGGCATTGGGATGTTCCAGCTGCAGGAGATGGCTGCAGGAGCTGCAGCTGCATTGTCCTGCAGCCAGAGGTTCCTGTGCCAAGGGCTGGCAATGATTCTGCCCCAGGCACTTTGCAGCACCTTCCCAGCCCTGACTGATTGAAGCTCTTTGTGCCTCTGTGCTGTGCCCGGGTGGCTGCAGGCAGTGCCCCAGCCCTGCTGGGCTGGCAGAACAGCTGCTCATCAAGAGAAATGTGCTTTTGAAGCTCTTCTTGGTTCTACAGCTCTACAGGAGCTGCCTCTGGGCCAGGAGCCCAGCCCAGCTCAGCAGCACAGACACAGAACAAGGACTTTAATGAGCCTCTGGGGCTTTGTGCTCAGGCCCTGAATATCAGTCCCTGAGAAGGAGCAGAAGAAACCTCTCCAGAACTCCAAGTCAGAATCCAACTCCAAAGTTTCTTTAAGTTTTAATGGGTCCCACTGAGTGAGACGACAGAGACTGTGTCTCCAGGCCCCAGGCAGAGGAGAGAACTGGAGGCAGTGATGACAGGTGGGGACAAAGAGAAGCCAAGTCTTGGTGCCCTGCGGCACAGCAGCAGGGTCTGTGCCACCAAGGACTTGGAGGAGACACCTTGTCCTGAGGCTCTGGGGCCTCCTGGCACAGCCCCAGCAAGGCTGGGCACTGTCAGCCCCTTGTCCTGCCATCAGCATCTCCCCCTAGCCCACCTCCCAGTGGCCTCAATGATCTGCTGGAAGGATTCCCTGGGGAGTCTTGGTCAGAAATGGCCCTAGGGGCTCCTTAATGGTCACAGAGTTTTTCAAAGGACTTTGGGTTTGGCTTTTGCCTTGGAGTCTCTGAGAGGTTTATTGCAAACATGGCCTCCAAATATCTGCTTTTAATGAGTCCCCTGAGAGCCTTTGTCAGTAACAACACTCAGTGGGCTCATTAATGCCTCAAGGTACTTCAGGTATTTTAAGGTACTTGGTGTTTCACTTTTAATACAAACTCAATGAGAAGTTTCTGCAATCATGGCCCCAGTCTTCTGCTTTAATGAGTCCCTTGAGAACTCTGTACTGATATTCAGTGGGGCCTCATCAATGATTTGAAATACTCAAGGTTTTTAAGGTACTTTGGAATTTCTTTTCCACACTGAATCTCTGAGAGCATTTAGTGCCATCCTGGCCTCCAATTCACTCCTCCAAGGAGTCCAGGAGGAGCCTGCATTGGGGATGGACCTCAGTGGGACCCATTCATGCTTTGAGACACTTTGAGTGTTTCCTCTGACTTTGACATCTGGAAAGGTTTGTGCAATCTCCTCTCATGCCCTGAGGTTCCAGGGCTCACCTCCAAATGCACCACAGGGCTCATTAGGATCAAACAAGTCCTGACAAACCATGGCTCTTCCTTGATTTCCCTCTGCTCTCATGCAGTTCATCAGGCAGTTCTCTGTAGTGCTTTTAGTTCACCAATATGAGATTTCTTAGCCAATGCATCAATTAGTGTGGTGGGTTCAGTGTTGGCTAATTAACCTGTGCACTCACTAGAATATTCTTACTGATATTCTGCTGTGAGATCGAATTAGGAGAAAGGCAAAGTGGGCTCAAAACTTTAAAAGGGTATAAAGAAAAGATTATTAATAGTAACTCAAAGAAAGAGAAATAAAAATCAGAACAAAACTTTTAGAATACTTCTCCTCTCTCATAAACCTTTTCTTTGTTACTGACAATGTAATGAGACAAAACCTAAAGGTTTCAGTCAGTTTACCACTTCTATAAGAGCCTTTCTTCAGTTCTCTTGGGTAGAAGAGTCTCTCTTTCCTTCTATGGAGACTTCTCCATAAGAAAATAATTCTCTCATTGCTCTCAATTTCAGTGAATAGCAGCTGCTTGGCAAATCTGCAATTGTGAAGTCCCTCCTATTTTTTCCACAACTTTTCCCACAGCTGTGTTCATAGGCTATGTCTGCTTATGGGGTATTAGTTTAAAGATGAGCTGTTGAAGAGCAAAGGTCCTCTTCATGTATTTCTAAAATTATCTTCATCTCTGAATACAGAGATCTTCTTCTCTTCATGAGGGCACAGGGTCTCAACAGTCTTCTCTCTTTCTCTGTTCAAACTTCTCATGCGATCACAGCTACTTCAACATTTGCTTACTTTAGCATAGAGGCCTGTCATGTTAAAGGCTCCTGGCCAGGTAATAATAGACATTGACTCAATGATTCACAGAAGGCTGATCAATAATCTTTATTAAGAAACCCATACTTTTATATCCCAGTTTGATACATGTGGACTTAAATGGTCCTCCAATCCAAACATCACCACCATTGGCTAAATAAAAACCCACCCTTTGGTAAACAAATCTCCATAACACATTCAATTTGTTTAAAATACAAAGTGCAGCAAGTTAAGCTAAGAATTTTTTCTTTTTTCTTATCTTCTCCAAAGGCTTTTCCAAAATAATGCCTGGGAAAGTTGTGTTTCTCTCTGTGGCCAGAGAGCTGCTGCCATAGAAGGCTTTGCTGAACAAGTCGTTTCCTCATACTTTTTAGTGCGTTATAGGGAAAAAGAGAGTCTGATGTATCAATTACATCCTTCTTCATAGCTTGACAAGAGGATTTCAGCCCCAAGATCAGGACATCTCCTCATCCCTCCCATCTGGGACTCAAGTCCGTCTTCACTGACCTTGGTGTCTTCATATTGCTCCTCTATGAGCCTGCACTTTGTCCTTTTCTCTCACTGGAGGGAGGATGGAAGCACTGAAAGAGTTCATATATCACCCGGGGCCTGCAGATGGTTCCGTGACCCTGGCTGGGCTCAGTGCTTGTGGCCGGAGCTGTTTTATGATGGAGGTTTCTGCAGCGGCTGCGCTGGGGCTGTGTCAGGATGGGCTGTGCTGGGGCAGGGCTAGGATCTCAGCAGCCAGGCCAGAGCATAGCAGCAGCACCGCCAGGGGCTGATGGCTTCTCCTCCCCCTGCCCGGGGCTTGTGGGTGAACCCCAGTGGTGGCAGAATCTTGGCCAAGCTGGCTCGGCCCGGAGCTGCTCCTGGGGCCCAGCAGATCCTGGCTGGCAGCAGGGCAGGGCTCAGCAGTGCCCAGATGTTGCCAACTGTAGCCATGGCCCGGCCCAGCCTCGGCCCCGCAGCCTCCCCTGCCCTGCCCAGCA